CCGATGAAGTTTGCCGTGGGTCTGACCGCACCGCATCGCAACGCACCGCACGGCCCGCGTCTATTACCCCGCAACATGCGAATCCGGTTGCTTCCCCCCCTCCCCTCCCCCTCAGCCTCAACCACTTCGGAGCCGGCTGGACCGGCAGCGGCGTAGCCTACGCGCCCGGCGCGGCGGAGGGAGAGCGAGAGGTGCAGCTGATGGGTTTCTTGACGTCCAGGATGTACGGGGGGGACCTTATGAGTTTCGGTGCCGTCTGTCGAAAAAAACCATACAGCCGTTGGTGGAAGAATTTTTGCACGCAGAAGATATGCTAGTGCGCAGCCTAAGTGGTTTGCTCTATAAAAGAGAAGTGACATAAATAATCCTGGAAAATCAGGGTGCCCTTAGGATGTCATGCATAACAGCAGTTGACGCCTGTTGGTTAGGCAACATCTTGCCGCGGAGCACAGACCGGGCGGGCGGGCGGGTGGCCTACCCTTCGACCGGCAGGCGTCCAGCTCAGCGCCGTGGGCCGTGGGCCGCCTCCTGGTAACCTCTCTGTCAGTGTGGACCACAATGTGGTCACGATTTTCTGGTTTTTCCCACTCCCAGAATGTACAGCAATACTGAACGAGTTAACAACATGTCGTACATATAAATCGGATTTAAGGAGAGCCGTCATTTTGCAGAATTTTCAGAATTTCATCGACGTGTATTGTTTTCTCTCTCTCTCTCTCTCTCTCTCTCTCTCTCTCTCTCTCTCTCTCTCTCTCTCTCTCTCTGTCACCGTCTTTTCCTCTCCCTGCTACGCCGCTGGAGACTAGCCGAGGGGGGAATCGAACCTACAGGCTTGTAAGCGCCCTGCCTCGCCCTGCCTCGCACCCACAACTTGGCTATTGTTGCCGGCATGCCCCGCGGGTTGAGCCGGGTGGGGCGGGGCGGGGCGGGGCGAGGCGCGCAGCGCTGGACAGCAGGGTGAGCCGTGTAGTGTTTGTGAATTAGCTTGTAACTTGTGGCGGGGCGGGGCAGGGCGACAAGGAAGGGCGCCACTACTGCGGGCACGAGCGATCGAGTCGACTCGGAGGAGGATCAGGGGGAGGAAGCCGAGGGAGAGAGAGAGAGAGAGAGAGAGAGAGAAGCAGCTCTGCCAGAGATATGTACCCCCCGCGCGGCAGGTGTGAGGAGCGGCAGGGAAGCGATTCAGTGATAAGTCTAACGCGCAACGCCGATGATATCTTGACGACCGCCACACGCACTCAACTCACACACACGCGCGCGTGCGCGCGCGCACACACACACACACACACACACACACACACACACACACAGAAACACATACCGTGGGCACATCTACCGCGAACCGCGAGTTTACTTTCACCGGCACCTAATCTCAGTCCCGCTCGAAGGGAGAGGGAGAAAGAGAGACGGAGGCATCACCCTCCACTCACTGCTTCTGCTTCTCTCTCCTTGCGATTGGACCGACAAATCGCTCGCTATCGCGGTAATGCTGCCACACCCACCGCCGTGCACCTCACCGCCTCCACCGCCTCCACCGCCCCCACCGCCCCCAGCAGTAGTAATGCCACGGCCCGAGCCCTTCCGAGTGCCGGGCCGGGTCCCTGCCGGGGCCCCGCCGGGGAGAGGGGCTCCTTGGGCTCCTTGAGCCGGCTTACGCCGCTGCCCCGTGTGCACCCGGGGCTGGGGCTGGGCTGGGGTGGCGCGCGGGAGGAGCGGGGAGCACTAGCAGCGGGAGCGCGCGCGCGCTCCCCTCCACCAATTTGTGTTTCGAGGACAAATAATGCCCCGTCCCGTAAAATATCTATTAGTTTTATTGTTTGACGGCGGCATTACAACAACAACAAAAGCGGGCGGTGCGGCGCGGGGGTAGTTTGTCACGGGGAATAACCAGGGGGTTGGGGTGGAGGGATGAAGAGGCGAGGTAGGCATGCGGTCGTGACGCCTCGGTCTGCAATGGCCAATAACTGTAATAAACATAAAACTTATTATCAGGATCAATAATATATCAATCAGGTTATGTCGTAACACCACCTCGTGTCTAGATACAGTTTTCATCTACAGAAAAATAATTTTAAATAGAACAACAAGAATATTTCGTTTTGTAAAGAAATTCCAATCAAAGGCTATTGTTTACGGAGTACTTACAAAATCCGTCAGTACCGCCGGCTTTTACCCCATTGCATGAGAGCTTACGCGGCGGGCGGCAGGAGTACCGCGTGGTGGTGCGTCAATACTGTGAGAGGACTGGGCGAGGAGGTGGCCCCGGAGCCTGCGCCAGGGGGTGGCGCCGGGGGGTGCGCGCGGAGGGGTGGCACCGGGGGGTGGCGCCAGGGGGGTGGTGCGGTGGCGCCTGTCCACCTCCTCGGCGCGCTGCGGCCCCGCCCCGCGCGAATCGCATATTCGGCTCGCAGCAGGGCGCGCCAGGGCGGGGCGGGACGGTAACGAGCGGCTCAGCCCAGCACCGGGGGCCGACTGAGTCCGTCTGGGGGGCGGCCATGGCCCCACGGCGCGCCGCCCGCGCAGCCAGCGCGGCCCCCCACGAGCGCCCCCCGCCAGCCACGCGCCCCCGCACCGGCAGGCCACCGGCAGGGCACCGGCCACTGCTCGCGACGCTGCTGAGGTAGCGCAGAATTTGGAGAAATTAGTCAAGAAATGTGGTATGGCTATTCTCGAGTTTTTCCTGTCAAGTCGAACAGTGCACTGTCGGGAAAATCCTCGTAATTTTACATTTGTCGTAATTTTTATATTTACTATAAATTATTGTGTTTTAAATCTGCGACAGCCCATTCTTGCTTTGTCGTACAATTCCAAGGCGATATCAAAAGTGCTTGTAAATTTACAACTTCAAATTGTAATTTTACGACCCATGCAACCTGGAGAATTTACCATAAACCTACGACCAATGCGTCGTATGAATTTGTTCTCATGTTCCCTCCATGTTGATTTTCTCTGCACCTTCCGCACTTTGTAATTCCTCCCCACCCCACTCTCTCCTCCCTCAACCCGCAACCCGCGTCACACCGCAAGCCAAACTAAACCAAATAATTAATTTTCAAAAGCAATCGAGCTCGGCGCGCAAAATCGAAATATATACGCGCAGAGCGGCGCGCAAAATGCTTTCGGCTTTCAAGTGAATTAAGCCCATTTGGCAGATCCGCCTCTGCCTCCCTCTCTTTGAAGAGCTGCGGCTCGCGGCGTCGTTCTCTCGGGAGCGCCGTGTTCCGAGCGCCTGTCAGGGAGAGTGATGCGGCAGATCCATCGCGCACTGGCCGAGGAAGGGCCCGCGCCTGCAAGCCGCATGGAATGCCGGTTATTACTGCCCCCCCCCCCCCCCCTGCTTAGCCTTACTGATATACCGAGTGTGCAAACTGTTGACATCTTGAAGTGTACAACTGCAAGATGACTTTAAACATTCAACTCCGCAGATTTGCACATGTATAAGTATGCTCAACTCAGTCTTTGCGGAAAACTTCCTTCCATTGGACGGGTTGCACACTTACAAGAGTGCACAAACTACTGAGTTGACTTACAAGTGCACAACTATAGAGTTGAATCCCAGAGTATTCAACATGCAGTAATCCACTTACTGCACTTGCTCGACACCCGGTCCTGTTAGTGGCTGCGACTGGTGACGAAGTGCGGTGAGTTGCAGCTAGCCGAAGCGGCAGCGTGACTACCTTCCAGGGGGCGTCCCTTCAGGCTGGCTATGCCCCTCCCCCTCCCCCCGAGTGGCCTGGTGCCGAACATTATACTTCTGCATATTGCCCCCCTCCCCCC